AGTCTAAAGTAACCGTTTTATCAATTTTTGAAAAATCAAGAAAAAAGTGAAAATTTCCCTTCTCGCTACCTTAATCTGAAATATCTTCAAGCAAATATTAATTTAATGATTACAATTTTCAATAAATAGATAATGAAAGATATTTCATGAAATATACATGTTCAATCACATTTTCAGAACTCTGTGTTGTAAAAGTCATCCAAGTGAGATTGGAATTGTACTGACTGTGCTTGTTGGGTGATATTTGAATTAATAAGTGATAGTGATATCTCAGCCACGTAATCTTCTCTTAAAGACGGATGCGACTAGCAACATGAAATATTTAAATGTATCATACATCCTTTAAATGACAAAAATAGACAGTAGGAATGTGGGTGTACCTGAACGTGTTGCCATGGAAACACTAGGTTACCTCCATATGTTGGCCATAGTACATACATGGTTAGGTGAGTCGTGGGCATAATTTTGTGAGCGAAATCTTGCTCACCAAATCAGATAATAATGCTTGTCGTAAATTTTGGACACAATTTTCTTCTGAAACAGATAAGGGCACACACTTTGAACTAAATATGGGTGGGCAGAAGAGTCAGCTAGTAGTTAATATATATATTTAAAATCTGTGTGTTCTTTAAAACTTCGTATGAAACGCATATCGAATACGAAGCAAGGCGACGACTACGCCGCTTTAATTTTCTTTAAGTCTATGTATATTAACAAATCTGCCGGTATTAGTATTGAATTGTGCTTGTCGTACACGAGGATATGGGACAAGTCTGCCTTTGTATTCACATTGCATATAGTACATGAAAATATTAACTGAGAGTGTCATATAAAAAAAATATTCAGTGATATAATTGTATATCAGTTATTGGAGACTAATGTATAGAAAGAATCAAATGTGTTTTTTCTGTATATGAAAGATGATTGTAATAGTGATATTGTTCTACGACTGCAATGAGCAATTGGTCAAAATGAATCGAAGATTACTTATTATGTCTGAATATTGTTTGCGCAAGGACAATATTGCATCTTTCTCAGGAAAGTTTCGCATCTTTCTTCCCTATCCCTAGATTATTTGTTAATGATGTTTAGAAAACGGTTGATATGTGTAATTCGGCGTACACTAACACTTTTCGTCTAATAATATATACTTTGAGTTTGAGCATTAAAACATGCAGCTATCCAAGAACTATTAAGGATACGCATTATTCGTGTATGATTATCCTCGCCACTCATTACACCCCTCCAATTAGTGATCAAGCCCAATTATCATCCATCAGTTAGGATCAAATGTGATCTATGGAATGGAAGTCCATTTATGTTTTCCCACTCAAATCAAACTAATCAATACCGAGTATTAATCCACAGCTTGAGTCATCAAACAATAGCAAAACCACTTAAAATTGTTTTCATTTGTTAACGATGGACAAGGCTGAACACACTTCATGTTATAAATATAATAAGTCAGTCTAGCAGTAACGCACACTCTCTGAAAGCTTTTTTGTTGCAGCCATCGAATGCACTTTTTTGTTATTTTATGTCAACGTTCAGTAAGACGAATATTACTTAATGTATTAGGGTGATGTTACACGTCCATTTGCGATATTGAACTGATTATATAAGAATCAACGAAGTAGATTAAATCGCACATCACTATTATATTACACTTGCATAATAATTAGGCAAACTTTATTTATTGAGTGTGTTCAAACTTTAACAACAATTTACATGAATGGCATAATAAACTGTCAGATTTGAAGATTCTTGTCTGAAAAATTATCAGTTTTTTTGTAACTTATTTATTTATTTTCTTGGGCTGTCACTACATGTCATACATTTCATGAATGCACAGATTAAAAACACTTCAAGTAATCCATATAAAGATGTTACTTTAAATATGGTATTAGGGAAGACCATCTCTTTTTGTGTGACGTTTTTTTTCTTTTTGTTTGGCGATCATACTCTCGATTAATAATAAAATTTGCATAGTTGGGTTTCTGTTTCTTCCATTTTGAGTAGTATATGTGGTTTCTGACCAGTGAGCAAACAAAGTTCACCAGCCAGTCGTACTCCGGGTCCCCTAGTATTACGAAAAATTATCAGTTTGTATTTGGTCGTCGCTTATTTACACCTACTACAGAGTTTGTCCTCCAGTTTACCAAACGAAACTCAGTTTAGATAGCAAAAACTAGACATCAATAGAGAAAGGCAATTTCTATTGAATTCGTCTTTCAATTATGTTGGCATATTTATGCATACACGACTAATTAATCCGCTGGGATTTGGGATTTATGTTACAAATAGAATTACTGTGACGTTTTCTTGTAAATATGAGATTAGCATGAGAAGCGAATACGTTAAACTCCTTAATTTAGGTTCAAATCCGATTTTTAATCTCAAATGTCTGGATAAATTAATGTCAAACTTTGACAAAACAATGAAAAAATTACATTGCCTCGGCATCTGCAACAAATGTATATCGTCTTGGGTGTTTGCAATACATGTACATTGTTTCGGTGTTTACACCAAATGTACACTGTCTCGGCGTTTGAAACTAATGCATGTTATGAAAGATGTTGTACAAGGATTAAATAACTTAACTACATTCATAATGTTTTCACATTTTTTTTTTACAATTTCAAAATGTACGGTAAGCAAAATTTGTCATGCAGTACCTTATTGGGTTTCCTGCCGTATTGAAGTGAATATAATGCCCCTAACACCTCGGAACGTTTATTAGATTTGTTATATACTTTAATGGTACATGGTTGACTAGTTTCCCCATCCGTGTCAGCTGAGTATTGATCAAAAAAAAAAGCTCCTGTGTAGTGCTTTCTCATTGGCTGATAACGAGGAATGTCACACGAGAATCTGACATCGAGCTGCAATTCTCGGGGGGGGGGGGGCATCCGGGCATTTTCACCTCCTGGCAACCCGCGGCGGTGAAAACAAAGGCCAAAAACTCGCAGAAAACGATACTTTGGGATGATTGTTGAGACTCCTCTGAACAGTGTAACACGATTAGCCCTACGTGTGTAACATATATAAATTTGGTTGTTCGGGATTACTTCAAAGTTGAGTTTGTGTTGTTTTCTCGAATTTTCACCGACTCGACCGTCGTTCCACAGCAGCGCGCAGAGAGCCCATAGAAATGCATGTACAGTGGTGCGCGTCGTAGCCAACGTGGAACGTCTTGTGACGTAGCTCC